ACATTATCAGATGCTTTTAGATTACAAAATAACATAAACTAAACAATTCGCTCTGTACCTCACAAAGGTGAACGATTTCACCGAAAATGATTGATTTTGTGTCACGGAGTCGTCCAACAGAATATTCCAGTAGGGGCAAGCAAGAGAGGATCAGAGGAGTCCGCAGTCGTCTTCTGTTGGGTCAGAGCCAATAGTCTCTACACCATTCGGAATGGAAATAGAAATGAGAAGAAAGCGAGTAGGTTTATCCTTCTCTTCCACTCAGGTCTATGAACTTTGAACAGTCTCCAATTTATAATGATTTTTTTTGTATTAAATGACGATGAATAAATTGTCAAGTTCAGTCGCTCCGATACAGAGACGGAGTTTTGCCTCGCTATGGGGTAAAATTTTTAAACTAAACTTCATGTTTACAAAGGTATCGTGATGTAAACATTATCGTCTTGGAAACATAAATTGAGAGTCAGCATGTCGCAATCAGCTCATCCGCTAGTTTTGGTAGTGCATTTCCTAAAGTTTCCATCCTCCAGCCGGAGACATTTTGCTGCCTTACTCCCTCTTCAACCAAAATTACTAATTCCTACACAAATCTGGTCATGGCTACTTCGGTCGTAGCAGGGCACGAGTTGCATACATGATGAAGAGTGCATCCTAAAATGGTTAGTTGATGTGAGGTAATAGCAGGCCCGAAGGGTGATTCGGAAGAATGCTGTGCAGGAATATGGTCTGGCACGATTTGGTCGGCTGATACAAATAGACGAATCCATGCTCGTAATCTAGGCTTTGGCTATCAGATTACACTAGCCGAAATAATAAACCTGAAATGAAGAGGTTATGTGACGTCAGGCATGACCTTGTCTAACCCCTCTTCTAGCCATCCACCTAATGTTTGTTGTTCCAAAACCCTAAAATAAGAAGGTCTATATGAGCGGTGTTGGATTGAGGCATAGCCCCTAAATGCCTAATTCCCCCCAAGAGGAAAGGTTTTGTTTTTTCAAAGTATACATAATTACATGCCGTTGCAAGCCTTACAGTAACTGTGTCTATGTCTGTGTGTACTGCCTTTAGGCAAATACTCACGGAGCTCGACGATGTTTTCCAAAAATTCGCAGCACAATTCGCCGGGAGACATGATTTCAAGGCCTTTGCATTAAAACTTATGCCATTGGCAATCATATAGCCGTAATTTCTAATTATTATTTTAATCTAACTTATATCTCTACGTCTAAAGTTCAAATGTTTTCTTCCAGGCATGGATACCCCACCCACTCTCACCTCCTTATCGCTGCGCCTAGTTCCAGTTGTCAACATATCTACAGACTTGTCTGAGACTCCCGTTGAGTCTGTTCAACTGTCCATAAGACAAGAAGGCAGACCAAAGCCGTTGGCTGCTATCCTATCAGGCAGTGAAGAGCTTAATGGAAACTTGCTGAAAGTCATTCCCGAGTTTGAGTCTTCTTTGGTGAACTCGAGGCTGACTATGGTTGAAAACCTCACTCTAGCAATAAAACTCTGGGATGACGAAGTGGAGTGAGCAATTTTTTCTGAACTAATCTACTAATAATTGGACGCTTGCCTATTCTAAGTTTACACAAAATGCTATGCTACCTCTGTTACTGTTTTTGACAAGTTCATTTCAAATTCAACAAGATGGAAGTAACTTTTAGAAAGACGTCTGATACTCATTTTTATAGTAAGTTCCAGGCTAACGAGTTTAAATTCACATCATCATGAGGTGATACGAGCTGGCAACAGACAAGCCAAACTAGTGAGACCCCTTATTCTCATGACTGACGTCTAAGTTGTAAGGCATAGTCATGTCTGAGTTAGTATTAGAAATGCGTATTCATCCTATGACCTTATATTGATTGAAAGACTGATAGGGCCACTTACCAACAATGATATGAGTAAGAATTGGTTAACCTTCTCATAGCATATTGGATAAACGACCTAGGTTTACTAAGTTCTAATTACTGAATTACTGATAGTACATTCCTTGGTCCGAAATCGGTAGTGCTACTTACGACAGAGGAATGTCGTCGATTGCTATAGCAAATATAAGTTTACTTCATCGAAAATCCCAACACAGAATGTGATTTGAAAATGCCTGACATTCCTTAAAATGTGCATCTGCCCTATGAACCAAGGGCACTCGTGGCAATGAAGCGTAGTGGTTAACGTTTCGAGCTTACAGGCTGCCCTGTCATGTTTTGACTCCTGTTTGGGGTGTTGATAAGACCGATGCGAGGTCGAAACTGCAGTCCACCCTGGATGAGAACCTCTTTTGATATGTGAAATTCAATGGAAAACAACAGCTCTACTCATATCATTGTGGGAAAATTCAACTACCAGTCCTACATCATGTTAAACTAAAAAGGATGAATGCAAATCTTAAATAAGATCTACTGGTAGCATCAAAAGGAAAAATTAGCTATAAAGTCTTTGAAAGTTCTCATCAGAAATTAGCATAAGCATTTATTTATTTACAATTCGTTTTACTTTTCTGTATACCATTCAAATGCAGTCATGCTTGGCAGGCAGACCTTTGTCCATTTAAACTACATTTATCTGAACTCTGATAAATTATCAGGGGGATTTTCATTTCGTATAAAAGTAAATGAAGAAGTGATTCGTTGGTTGATCTCACCAGATGAGGACGGTTGAATCTCGTTGTACTGTAGACGTTTGCTTTTATATGATATTCATTTTAACGCAGTCCACAAGACTTCCTCCTTCGTTTCGGGTGAAAACGTGCTGAGCTTTTGTCCATCATATGATGGACATTATCAAAGCTAAGGTATAAAGACCAAGATGGTGTGGCCTTTTGTGTGGTCGCAGTCTCCTTTCGTTGAATAGAAGTT